AATCACTTCATAGTAAGTCTTTAAAATATTATTCAGGGACCAGCAGATGGTGTAATAGTTACGTTGCTGGACTCCCATGTAGTCAACCACGGTTCAAGTCCCAGACCCAGTGGCTTAAACTCATATTGTGTGTGTGTGTGTGTGTGTGTGTGTGTGTGTGTGTGTGTGTATGCCCAAAATCCTGAGAGGAGAATGGAGGAGAAGGGACTGTAGCATGACCAACTCCTCCCTGCCCCGGGAGTGATTTCTTGCTTCCCCTCACTTTCCCTCCCTCTCTGGCTCTTCCTTTCTTTCTCTCTGTCTCTCTCTCTCTCTCTGTCTCTCCAGTGATCACTTGTGCCCTATAGCAAAAATCTCTCTTAACAAAAAGAGGTATTCAGAATGCTTAAAAAATATATGTTTTTAAATGACACCCATCAAATTAATGACACCGGTATTCCTGGGAGGTTGGTGATTTGGTTCTGGGAAGGCAAGTCCCACAGAGAAGGTCCAAAAATACTGAGTCATTGCAAAAGTCATGACATATTTTTCTATACAGAAATGTGTCATGACTTTTCTGACAACCCAGTGTGTTTATACAGCGCACATATGAACAGATTAAGACATACCTTCTCAAAGCAACTTCTTGAAAAAGAGACAACCCTTCATGAACTGCATTAAGATATGGTATTTAAATGAAAAACAACCATCACAATTTATAATGACTTGATGTACCAAGTATATTTAAATGATTCTAGTATTCTTCCTACAAGCTCCTTAGGATAAAGCGTCATGACTTATTTTTCTTGGTGTAAACTGTAGGACCACTAAGAGTACTAGGTTGATGCTTTATTCAATTCAGTATAAGTTAGAAGGATACGGGTAATGAGGAAACTGCTCATCCAGTAAGAAAGTCAGCACAGTACTCTGCTGTTTATTTCTCAGCCAGTGTCTGCAGTTTACTTTGGTTGTTGGTGGCCATCAGGGGTAAAATAGCAATGAAGATCTGGAATTTCAGTGGAACAAGTGTTTGCAGACAATTCCTGAAGGCCAGGTGGACTCGATTGCATTCCTTCCTTGTCAGCAGCTCGGTTATTGTGTGACTTTCTGAACTTTGGAATTCTATTCCCCACTAATCAGGCATGAGCATGGAAGGATAGTGTCAGGAATTCTCCTTTAAAAAATTTAATAATACATTTATACCGAAAAAGATGAGTACAAACAAATGATCATGGAGACACAAATTTGACCCAGAAAGTGATTACAATAAAATGTAAAGCTTGAAGAGAATGAAGACTTGAAAATGATCTGCTCCCCCGATTCTTCTTTCCAGAGTGTTTTTGGATCTCTAATGAGGGTGATTTAAAGGCTTTTCTACAACTGCTACTGGATCTGCCAGTTAATTCATTCAAGGCACATCGATCAACACATACGAACTACTCTAATTCTCACTGGGCTAGAGAATGAGCTAGGTGGAGAGTTTACTTCAGAGATCAGAAATTCCATTGTATATATTCCCCTGAATAACTGGCAAGGGGATCGTCAGAATGAGCTATTGCAGAAAGCCACCTTAGTCTTCACAGTTTCGGTGTGACGGTGCCCCAGATCAGAATTGTAAAGTAGTTTAGAGAATCTTGGAACATAAAACATGGTGCAGAAAACCAAAGAAGATTTAATCTTATTTATAGAAAGGTGCTTGGCAGGGGAGGGGACAATGAAAGAGAGTGGCTTGGGATCATCATTAATCACTTTTTAAGTACCAACAAAGTGAAAACATCCTCCTAGAATTCACTGCAAGCGCCACTGAATTCTACTAAGCAAATATGTGATGAGTTGATAAAAAAAAAAAAAGAAGGTCCTGAACTCTTGACTATAGATATAATACAGTGAATACAGAAAATCAAAAACATGCTTTCTATCCGACTCAAAATAAAGGTGCACTTAAACTTGTAAAAGACAACATTTTTATTTGAATGATATGACAGAACTGTCACAGGAGTGTTACCTGCTATAAAGAAAGACTAAGAATTATTGCCTTTATTAGACCAGTGACACTGAGCTTTAGCCATACATTTCTAACTTCTGTCCCTCTACAGAGACAATTTTCTTTTCTTAAATAAACTGTCATGCTAGTGTTAATATATTGTTGGCTCTCTCATGCTCTGAGAATACTGCTGATATAAAACATGTATATGTTAGATTGGTAATAGTATCTTTAGTGTAGCTGACTAGAACAAATGTGTTTCCCTCATGGCTGTGCTAATGTGATAAAGGAAAATTGGCTGTTCATCAGCTTTTGGCTGGGTAAAGACAGTAGAGATGGAACCACATTCTTTTTTATGCATTAATACCACCGAGAACTTTTCACTAGTTATATTTCATGTGCCTGCATGTTGCGCAAAGATGTTGTAAAACATGAGATAATGCTACAAATAACAGAGTAGAAAAGCCTGTATCTTTTATAATGATAACAGTCAAACACCAAATGACAGTAACAGGCTGTAAAAAATGGGATGCAAAAAAAAAAAAAAAAAAAAGGAAAAGAAAAGGAAAGAAAATGCAGCCCTACTACCCAGCAAAGAGGAATTTATCCAGGTCCATGAGTGTGGTGTGTGATTTTGACTCTCTTTAAGCTTGGTTTTAAAATAAAGTCAAAGCAACACTGGGTCAATGATTTAAGAAAGAATATGGTTTAAATGATAGCAGTTTGGTTCGATTGTAGAAAAGCAACAATAGAGTAACTTTCTGAGAAATTGATATACCTAAGTAATTATGATGTTAACATTCAGTGCTTAATTTTTGTTTCTGTTTTTTTGTTTTGTTTTGTTTTTTGAGAGGGAGATTATCAGAAGGGGTTCTTTAGGGAATAATTCACCTAATGATTTAAAGGTGTTTGAGAATAATGATTTAAAGATGTTTGTTTTCATCAATTATTGTAAGTCATTTTTTAATAGAATGCATTTTAAAAATGTATTTTTAAATAAGTTTTAGGCTTACAGCAAACCAAATGGAAGGTACAGAGATTTCCCATATAGTGCCTGTCTGCACATACCAATGGCATCCCCCCACAATTAGAATTTTGCACCAGAGTGACACATTTGTCAAAATCTATGAACCTACACTGTTGCATGATTTTCGCCCAAATGTCAAGTAGAATGGCATTTGAATGTATGCTTTGATATATTTTTTTTATTAAAATGGTATCATCTAACCTTTTAATTGCATGCCATTAAATCTTTTTAAAAAATTAATTAATTTATTTTAATTTGACCAAAGAGGGGCAGTGAGAGAGAGAGAGAGGGAACGTGAGAAAGCAAGTTGCCAGGTCCAGGACTTGAACCTTGGTTGGCCATGTGGGAGTCTAGCGCCTTTAACCACTATGCCAACTGCCTGCTCCACATGTCATTAAACCTCAAATGCTCTCCCTTCCATACCCCCCAAGCCCTCCCCTCTCTAGAACGTTTTGTTTAACATTTCTGCTCTTTATTAGAGTACCAATGATTCCTTTCACATGTATGTTAAGTTGAATGGACTATTTCTAGAGACTAAAGTTGATGTCAGGACAGCTGATCAGTTGTTAAGAATATATGCAATCATAGAAGATTTGGGGTAGATAATGTCTATGAGGAATTCTGCCTAAAAATTTGATTGAACTGAGTATCCAGGGATTGTCACAGACACAAACATTCTGTAACTATGGTGTGGTCTGGAGGTTATCAAGCTACCGCCTGTGAGTCAGATGTGGCAGGCCACCTGTGTCAGTAAACTAAGTTCTTTTGGAACAGAGACATGCTCATTTGTCTACATATTGTCTATGACTGCTTTGCATCAGAGCTGAACAGTGGCAATGGGGACCTTTTGGCCCATAAAACCACATCATTGGCTCATAATGAAAAAATTTCTGGCTGTTTTCAGAAAAAATTTACTAACTCCAAATATAGATTGCTTGGTTGTTTAGCCTAGAATGTGATGGGAATTTTTTTTTTTTTTCACTAGATCTTTTCCATAGGGCATATGTGCCTGCCAGGGAGAGTCAGAGGGAGAAATTGAGCAATCTCCTCCCAGAGGGGTTGGCCATGCCTCAGTCCCTTCTCCTCCATTCTCCTTTTGAGATTTTGGGCGCACACGCACCAGTGTTTTTTTTTTTTTTTTTTTTTTAAGTTCCTGGTTCCAGGACTCAAACTGAGTCAAACAGGAGGGATCTAGCACTTTCGCCACTTGCTTGCCCATAGAGATTTTTAAATATTATTCTATATTGGTAAAGTCAATCTAAAAATTACCAACTAGATATTAAGACCTAAAAAAGTATCTACAAGAAATACTTTGTATTAGTAACTTAAACTTAATTATATCCACATATGATACTTTTTAAAAAAATATATGGTTTTAACTTTTTCTTTTAATTGCCAGAAAGCATGGTCATACCCACCAGATATTGCGATGAGAGCAAGCGTGTAAGTGTGCACACAAGAGGGAGAGCACTCCTAGTAGGGTGTGGTTACATTGTAATTCCTTTCCTCCATTTCTCCTTCCCATCAGAATTTGGGGCACACATGCACCCATGTGTTTTTCCAGTTTCCATGGCCAGGATTCGAACTGCAGTTGGCCATGTGCAATCTAGCTTCTAATGCACAGCACTTAACTGATATGCTATGAGGCCAGCCCAGTGTATCTGGTTTTGAACATTTCTCCCTCTTGTATTCATTTCATCTTTATTTCTAAATGCGGACATAACACATTTAATTATGGTATGAAAAACGTATCATCAAAAGACTTAGAAAGGCCTGGAAATCATAGCTGTTACAGATATGGGACAATTCACTTATCTCCTTGTGAATAACCTGGGAGATATCATCACAGCATAAAATGACAATATGTAGGTTTATATCTAGAGCTATAAACACACAGAGATACACCATTAAAATAGTCATCGGTCTTCTGAAGAAAGTGGGGAAGGTAGAAAGTAATTTGAAAAACACTGCTGAAATACGGTGATAACTTAATGTGATAATTTCTTACAGGTGCATCAGACAAAAATCAGCTTCTTCATCAATGGCTTGGAGGAAGATGATACAGCTTTTGATGCAAGAACTCTAAGAGGTTCAATTACAGATTTTGCCTCTGGTACTATGCAAATAGGACAAAGTCTAAATGGTAAGATTCTGACTGGAAGATATTATTTATTATATCTGATCCCCTTGTTCTTTTTTTTTTTTTTTTAAATGTGTCTAAAAGGGCCAGCATGTTGTGTGGAGGTTAAGCACCTGTTTCCTGTATGTGCACAATTTGCATTCCAGATCTGATGGTTTGAAAATCCCACTGGATGCTCTGTGCATGTATGTGTGCTCAAAATCCTGAGAGGAGAATGGAGGGAGAAGGGATTCAGGTGTGTCCTTACCCCTGGGGAGTGATTTCTCACTTTCCTTTTCTCTCTCTCTCTCTCTCTTTAATGAGCACGCACATGTACCTATAACAAACTAAGCACACAAACAAAAAGGTATCCAAAAATATTTTAAAGTTCCTAGATGTATGTGTTTCCTACGGGTGCTGTAACAAATTACAAACAACTGAGTATCAGCTTAATACAACAGAAATGAATTCTCTGACAGTTTTGGAGGCTAGAAGTCTGAAAGCAATGCAGGATTTATTCTTTCTGAAGTTTCCAGAAAAGATTCTCTGTTTCTCTTTTCTGGAGGCTGCTGGCAAGTTTTAGCTTGCTTGGTTTGTAGTGGCATAACTCCAAAACTTTCTCCTCTGTAGCTTCTCCCCTATTCTCTCATGTAGATATTCGTCATTGGATTTATGTTAATTACACCCATGAAGACCCATTTTCCAAATAAGGTTCCAGATGTAGGTTCTAGATGGATCACCCTTTGAGAGTCGTGATTCAACCCATTACACTAGGAAAGTTTGAAAATGACTTCTCTGTGCTGATCAGTTTTAAAAGTAAGCACAATATGTAATCGATATATTTTCTCTCTGGATTGAATTTTATGTAGGGCATTGTTAAGGTAGGATGCTAGAATTTTATATAGAAACTGAGAAATAATATTCACATGTAATAAACTGGTTCTATGATGTTTGTATTTTCTCACCTTAAAAAGGATCATGTAATTTAAGAAGAACAGGTATATTATTAATGGAAAAGAATGGAAATTGAAGTCAAAATGATCTTGAAATATCTAGCACAATGGGCTTTAAAATGTCTACATTTAAAATCGGAAATAAAAATTTATATTATTGTATAATACATGCTCATTAAAAGAAAACCCAAAGCCTGGGTGGTCAGAAAAGTCATGATGTGTTTTTCTATGCAAAGATATGTCACAACTTTCCTAACAAGCTAATAATATGGAACTTTGTGAAATAGGTACATTTTCTGTATTTCCATCTTCAGAGATAACTGCAGTTGAATTTTTTTATATCCTTCCAGATTTTTAGTACATATAGCAAGAGAGATGGTTATAAATACAATATTTTTCCAAAACTGAAATTATAATACATATACTTTCTCTGTGCTCTCTAAAAATAAATTCTTTCCTTCCAAATGTTATATCAACACTTCATGTCAAAATACCATCTCATTTAAATGTTCCTTTTCATGTAAATTGGCTGCATTATATGCAGTTGTATAATTGTAATACATATTTTTAAAACAAGCTTCTATAATGAACATATGTTATTTCTAATGTTTTGAAATTATTAGCAGGGTTTTTTTTGACAGCAAATCATGTCTACATCTATATACATTAATATCTGTATTTTTTATTCATGTCTACTTCTTTATGTTATACAAACATACACACATCAAGCAAATGTCTGTTTGCACAATTCTTTAAGGCTCTATGCTTGGGTATCAACATGCCTGAGTTCAAATCTCATCTCCCCACTTACTAGCTATGTGTCTTGGAAAAATTTCATTTTTTTTATTTTTGAGAGAATTTTGCTATAGGGCGTGTGTGCTCGACAGAAAGAGACAGAAAGCGAGAAATCACTCCCCACTAAGAATGGCCATGCCGCAGTCCCTTCTCCTCTCAGAATCTTGGGCACGCATGCACATGTGCCCGGTGTGAGTTTAAGCCACCAGGTCTGGGACTTGAACCACAGTCAACTACTGGGAGTCTAGCGATGTAGCCATTATGCCATCTGCTGGTCCTCCGAAAACCTTTTTAAGGCTAAATGTGGTTAGCCAACTTTAAGATAAATGATGATACATTTTACAGTACCATTGTGAGGGTCAAATTAGGAAACATAAAAATCATGATTGTCTTTCAACCTCTGGTGCAGAATAAATGTTCAATATCTATTTGGTGAATAAATGAATAAAGTACTTAGCACCACACCTTGTATATGTTAAAACATTTTGGTAAATGGTAGTGTGATCAATGTCACTATAATTATTTCCCTATGATAAATCCATAGAAATGCAATGTTTGGGTTGTAGTATATGGTCATTTTATATTTTAATGCAAGTTATAAAGATTACCTTAATACATAGCAGCAAACTAGTTCCAGAAAGGTTATTAAAATTTACCACCTTATTAACAAATGCAGGCAAGTACTTGTCCCCTTAAATACCAATCTTACATACTATCCATTTTAATTTTTTTTACACTTCTTAGTTCTCTAAGTAAAAAAAAATATTGGTGGAGGATGATTTAGAATTATTTGTCCATTAATAAATTTGAGACGCTTTCCACATTTGTTTTGATCATTTCCATTTCATTTCTAATGGTATTTTTAAATTAACAATATTTTAAATTCTCTCTCTCTCTATAGTGTATATATATAGTATATATATATATATATATATATATATATATACTATATATATACACATACACATATACACACACATATATATATATTTTGGACAGGGTCTTGCCTTATCATGATCTTCCTGCATAGCCTTCCACTTAGCTAGGACTACAGGTGTGAGCCACAGGGCCTAGCCTGTTTAAAAACGGGCTGGAAAGCAAAACCAGGCTTTCCATGCACCTCTAGCCTCTGAGCCACTCAGGCCACCATCATTGAGGCCAGAGCTTCTTAATTTTAATGAATTCCGATTCATTAATTTTTCTTTTACATTTAGTGTGTCTCGTGTTCTGTTTAAAATGTCTTTGTAAACCGTGATGTGATGAAGATTTCCTGCTACCCTTTATTCTGGGTCTTGTCATTTTAACTCTCAAATTTAGTTGTGTTTTATTGGGAATAGATTTTTGGATATGAGATAAGGTAGAGGTGAAGATTTATTTTCTTTTCTACTTGAATGTATCACCCAGGCACATTTTCTTTAAATAGATCATCATTTATACTGCTGTACAGGGGTAATGTTCTCATAAACCAAGTATCTGTATATGAGAAGATGGGTTTGTTTTTCAACTCTATTCTGTTCCAGTGATCTGTCTGCTTATGCTTGGGTCAAAACATTTTGCTTTAATTGCTGTCACTTTATAAATGCTTTACTATGTGACAGTGCAAATTCTCCAATATTATTTTTCTTTTGAGAATGCTTTGGCCATCATATGAATTTTAGAAGCAATTTTTCAATTTTCACAGAAATTCCACTGGGGTTGAAAGCATTAAGTCAGTTTTGGAGCAGCACATGTCTAAGCACTGTCAGTCTTCTGACCCATGAACATAATGCATTTCTTAATTTGTCTCAGCAATATTTTGAGTTTTCTGCATATTTGTCTCACTCATATTTGTTAGACTTATTGCAATATGTATTGGTTATTTTTTAATTGACCTTTTTTTGAGCAGTTTTAGATTCACAGCAAAATTGAGTAGAAAATGCAGAGTGCTTGTATACCCTCTGTTCTCTTCCCCATCACTATCCCTCATCAAAGGGATGTTTGTTACAGTTGACCCTACACTGACACGTCATTATCATCCAAAATTCATACTTTACATTAGGGTCCCCTTTGGGCATTGTACAATGGCGTGTATTCTCTTTTATAATATTTTATATAATAGTTTCATTGTCCTAAGCTGCCTCTGTGCTCCTCCAGTTCATCTCACCCTTCTCTCAACCTCTGGAAACCATTGATCTTTTTATTGTTGCCATAGTTGGGTGTTTTCCAGAATGTCAGATAGTGGGAATCACACTCTATGAAGCTTCTTTAGATTGGCTTCTTTCACCAAGTAGTATGTGTTTATATTTCTTCCATATTTTTTCATGTCTCGATATCTCATTTCTTTTTAGCACTGAATAATATCCCACTGTTCAGCGATTATGTACTTACTTACCGAAGGGCATCTTGGTTACATCAAAGTTTTGACAATTATGAATAAAGTTGGCATAAACATTCATCAGTAGTTTTTTGTGTGAACCTACTTTTTCAAGTCTTTTGGATAAATGCCAAAAAGATTAATTATTAGATCATATGGTAAGAGTATTTTTAGTTTTATAAAAGAAAGCACCAAACTGTCTTGCAAAGTAGCTGTATTTCTTTCCAGTCTTACCAGCAATGAAAGAGAGTTCCTGCTGCTCCATATCCTTGGTAGCATTTGGTGCTGCCCATGTTCTGGCTTTTGGCCATTATTATTATTATTATTATTATTTTTATTGAGAGGGATTTTTGCTATAGGGTGCATGTGCTCGTCAGAGAGACAGACAGAAAGCAAGAAATCAGCCCCTGGGAGGAGGGCCATACCACAATCCCTTCTCCTCCATTCACCTCTTGGGATTTTGGGCAAGCATGCACATGCGCCTGGTGTGAATTTTTTAAACCACTGGGTTGAACCATGGGAGTCCAGCAACATAACCATTATGCCATCTGCTGGTCCCTTTGGCCCTTATTTTTTGTATATACAATTATACTTAGTATTGTTCTAAAACTTCTCTTCTAATTTTGTTGTTATTATATGAAAATACAATCTATTTTTATATTGACCTTATGTCTAGTAGTCTTACTAAATCCATTATCAACTCTAATAGTCAGATAATCCTATTATTTGTGTATAACAATTACAGATCTTTCCAGGTGCTTGCAATACATGCATGAAATAAACATGACTTTGGAGTTGTCCTGTAGATATTTATTCGTGATGATATTATTAATCTTGAAGTGATGCAAAATTTCAGTTTCGTTTTTCTCTATGATCTGGGTTAGACTCATGTCTAGGTCAAATAAAGAAAAATACACGTTTTA